TCTCTTCTGTAACACATATTCTGCATTATTTATCTGAGAAACAACAAAACGTATCGATTCAACATGTTGGGTGTTAACAGACTCCTTCAAAGAACAATGCTAAAATTCATTTACAGGGATTAATAGAAGTTTAACGCAGTTTTTAATCATCTCTGTTAGCAGGTTTCTAAGCGTTTACCTTTCAGTTGTGTTTAAGATGGAAAACTTAAACATTTGTTAAGTTCTCACATGTGTACATATTTTTAGATCTTCTGTTTAAAAGAACAGAAGATCAATGACAGCTGCTTTCATTGATGTTTTCTTATGAAACGTAAATTATTATTGTTTTAAATCAGCTTGCAGGTTTATCTTTTTGACTTGCTGTTGTCAAGCCAGACTGAAGACAGTTCGCTTGGTAGTGCACAGGTGCAAAGTTAGTTCATCTCACTGAAATCTTCTTACTCTAACAAGCTTACATGTTGTGTTATGCTTCCCATTCAGTTCTTTAAAGGGCTTGTGAGCATGTTAGACATTTTGACATTTGGAGTGCAAGGCATTTATTCCACCAAGATCAAAGACCAAATGCATGTTTCTGGTGAGATATGTTTCACAGTTCCATGCTTGATCCATTGCAGGTTTGGAAATCTTTTTTGAATCACTTGGTTTTCAAACGTCAAGAGAGTTATAAAATCCTATAGAAGTCCAACTCGGATGCAGTTTCATATCAAGATTTCTTGTATTGTTGCCTCAGTTGTCCCATCAGCTTCTTTGGTCCTCTTTGTGGTAAACTCCCTCCCCCCTCTAAAGCTATTCAAATGGCACACTGCAGGATTATCCCTCAGCCTCTGAGATATGCTGGTTTGGTCAGACTTAAAGTCCGCACTAGGTTTGCTTTGGCCACAGAGACTGAAACTGGGAACAAAATGATCAGATTAATTTGAATTCAAAAGGATAGAGTTGGATTGCTAATTTTTACATCGTTGAGGAAGCTGTTTGAGGATTTTATTTACTTTATTTTTTATAAAATGGAGCCAACAGTGGTGAGTACATGTAGAATAAAGGTTCAATGTGGTCAAATGCGCAAAAGTTGGATTTTAGCCGATAATGCTCCTCTGTTTTTAACATCAACACAGCCTCTGCAATCACAACAGGCTCTTAGCAGACTTAGAAGATTTAAGATTACAAAGGGGATTGCTTTGTCAGCAAGGATTTTGGATAGTGGGGGGATTGTTAGAAGGATCCAAATGTTTTTTGGGCCAGAACAGCTGTTATTTAAATATTTCATACCTGGATTAAGTGCAATGTTTTTTTTTTTACAGTTCCCATTGGACTACTAAGTCGTATTCTGTTTTTATGATGACTTCTTCACTCACCACGAAATGTCTAGGGGAATGTGAGGTATTTTCACAGTCATTGAGGTGTATTGACCTCAATAAGAGCTGAATAAACCCCTCTGTCTCTTGGGTCAGACAGCAGCCTCCCACAACAGACCAAAACTGTGACTTTTCAGTGAAGTATTTTTCTCTCGCCGTCTAGCTCAATAAGCCAAGGCCATGCTGTCCTTAAACAGGAAGCCACTTGTCTTCTCTTTACAAATTCTCAGAAACAGTAAAATGTCATTGGCAAAACTAGAAATGTCTTTTTCATTCAAGCTTTAATCAGCTTGATAATGTGTGTGGAAACATCAAAAAAGCAAGAAATATGTTCAAAATTTATTTTCCAAATATTTACATTGTGTTAACCAGCCCAGACTGTGTGAATTTTAGCCTATACAAAGCTTATATTTGGATTCAGGCTTTATGCCAGAGCCTAACCGGCTTTGATGTTAATAGGTATTGTTGTCACGAATGCTGGAGCTTATTGGATGCGTTGGCTGATGGACAAGTAGATGAACCACTGATGGTAGCCGGGATTAAGAACTGAGACTTTGCACCTTCTTAACTTTTTCGAAGCATGAGATTCTATTGCATCATTTATTTGGCAGGCACATTTGCTAGTTCTCCCTTTCCCCCTCACTGTTGGGAAACTGCAACAAAGAGTGGCAACTTGGGGCCCTTAATGTCTCCATAACAACCATTATGCACCATGTATATGTCAATCAGTTTGCTGGGATCGGTGCATTATGTCTTGCAATCACAAATGTAAACATGCAGACATCACTGAACTATGTTCAGACTTTAACTGAAATGTGCTTTGTTCAGATAAGACTAAGACTGTGTTATTTGACAACAAAGGATAACTGCTAGGCAGACAGTTTAGACTTAAATGCACAAGACTAAATTAATGCAGAAATACTGAGCGCTGGATGAACATTTTACACACTCATTTGATAACATTACTGGAAAAAAGAAAAATGAAACTCAACATCTTAGAATTTTTGTTCGATATTGTTCATATTTGAAACATTAATATGTATTTTAAGTAGCATATATTTTTCATTACAATACTAATTACGATGGTTTTAGGCCTCACGCAATGTCATTGACACATTCAGACATTAGAATTAGTAACTACCTAAGAAACAAAATTCTTAGATAGTTACTGGATTTTTTTTTACCTGCTCTCATGTTTTGATGATACACAACGTTCCTGACATTACAGGGATACAATGAGCAAAGAGTCATGTAAGCAGAACAAGAAAGAACAAAAAGAGATGAAAGAGTTTCTCAGAGAATCATAAAAATTCTTTGCTGGCATTTCCACTGTGAGCTGAACAGCACAAATTGGTTCTGATTCATACCCGGACTGTAAAACCTCAGAGTCATGAAATGCTACTGTGGTGATTTGAACTAGCTCATAGTGCACTCTTGATGATAGCCAGAGAAGAAAAGCCATGGGTGATTAGAGGCTCGCAGGCTGGTGTGAGGGCCGGTGATAGTAACCAAGGGCGTGATAAAAACACAGCTCTGCTAAATCAGTGTTCTGTGGAAACCCCCGACTGAGGTGGACTTTATTGCCCTCTCTGTCACTGCAACTTAAAACAATGAAAAATGGGTGCAAAATGTTCCCACGATGATGTTTTGAGCCTGCAAAAACACTGTACAGATTTCACAAGTTTCTGCTAAATATACTTGCCCCATTGAGATCACGTTGTTATTTCAAGCCTAATTCTTCTCACAGGGACAATTATGGTGTCATTTGTGCACAAAGGCAGTTTGGTTCAAATGAGCCAAATGTGGGGAAGCGGTTTTTGGTGTCTCACTCCAGGGATGAAGGATACTATAGGAAGGAATTTTGTATTAAAGGATAGAAAGGTTGAAGCAAAGTGGGTTGGTGCCCTGTAAAGACCTGACGCAGGTCTGGAATCTGACAAAATTTGCACGTCATCTTTAGACATCTTTAGTATTTCAGTTTTGTTTTGCACTTTAAATGTTAACCTGTATTTTATTCAGTGGAATGATAATGATTTTAGAAAGGGGTGATTATAATTATATTTATCGATAGCTTGATGACATTTTTTCTAAGTTAGAGAAATCTGTGACATGTAAAGAGGAAGTTTTAGAAAGAATTATATAATCCATTTATCATTGGCTGCACAGCTCTACAGGAGTTGGATCAGGAAAGTGAAAACATCTATTGAGAAGATTTTCCTGATGGAGTTAAAGAAAAAACTAATACCCATTTTTGAGATTTTGTCGCTTTTAGGTTTACATTTGTAATGTATCAATAAAGTCTAAGATTGAAGAAAACAGGACTTAGATCTAGACAATAAAATAAATTTTGTTAGGCAGGTGACAAACTGAAAAAAATGTCTTTAAATGTTCAAAACCTGGTACAAATTTCTCCGGTGGTTATTAATGTACAAAATAATTACTGCTGTTTGTTCTCATTTGTTAAGCATTTCCTGGTTTGTGTGTTGTCCTCATTTAATTAACAAAAATAAGACATGTAATCAACACAAGTTGATTATAATCAACTTCTACTATGAGCTGACTACAATATAAATTATATTCTAAATTATATAATTTAGAATATAATTCAACTCCACTGAATGCGACCTATTGTTTATTCTTTTTTTAATTGTAAAATTTTATTGTGCAATTTTCTTTTTCCACAAAGAAACTCTTGCTTCTGCTCATAATATTATGAACATTAAAACAATTTAGCACAGCTAATTGTTGCTAGACTGCATTTAAGATGAATACTTAAGCAAATCACATCTGGGACAGAGCCTAGTCAAAGTCCTTGTAACTTCAATTACTGTATTAATATGGAAGTTAATTTGCCTATATTAATACTTATGTTACCCTATAATCCACTGTAATTATAAGTATTTCTAGCAGGGACAGCATTAAGAAAGACTCATTATTGTCACCTACTATTCTATAAACGTAATTGTCAGGCTGCTTGTTACAGGGTAATGAATATTCCTCTGTCAGGAGAATAATATTAGTCGTGGGAGCAAAATGGATTAGGCTTCGGACAGAACTCAATGTCAATATAACAGGAAACAAGGTGGTTAGATATTGAATAAATGTCAAACACCTAAAAATAAATCACCTTAAAAGCTTAAGGAAGTAGGAGCTGATGTGAATTAACCAACTAATTAGTGATTACAATCAACAGACACAATGAGATGTATAAATAGAGTCTTGATCTTGTTTCTGTTTTCAGTACGCATCTGCAGCTCAGGGCATCTCTACTGGTTGCTGTGCATGTGTATTCTCTGTGTTTGGGGGTATTTTTCTTCCAAAAAGAAGTATGCCAAAAGATTTACAGTGGAAAGATTTTAGGTCAGAGCTAAGTGAAAGCTTCTCCCACACTCATGTCTTTTGTAGGACACACCATTATAAGATGGCCCCCAACGTTCCTCAGGGCACAGCACTGTGTGCTTGGTAGAGGAAACTATTTTTAGCAAATTATTATGACTGTCTCAAGGAGAACATCCCCACTACTACAGTGAAACTTTCATGTATAAGTCAAAATGACTACACAACCGATCCAAAGAAAACTGTTCTCCTTGATTATAATGTAGCTTTGCTCACGTTTTTAATTTTTTTTTCATTGTTGCTGTCTTCCAGTGCATGAGGAACCCAGCTCTCCTGCTGAGGACAGGTTTAGTCATTAGAGAACTTTGCCACATCCAGGAAAATGTCTGGCTCCTACGATGAATCTGCAGGCGCTGACGACACCATGGACAGCTTCTGGGAGGTAAAAGTTTGCTGCACTTTTAACCTGCAACGTTGTTTATGATCAGCAGATTCATAAATTATTATAAATTACTTTTTCATTGCCTTAAGTTATGTAATTAACAGAAATAAACCCTTCTCAATGCTTACTACCACGTTTACTACCACGGTCGCTCAGAGATTACAAAGTATGCCTGTTTGATGGGTCAATATTTACATTTTGATCTGCTACGTTATTCATTCCAGAGATTTGAGTTGGGCAAAATATTGTTAGGATTTAGTAGATATTTCTCACTATGTGCAGCTGTGCCTCATGCTTGCTGATGCTAATGACACCAGCATCATCAGAAAGCTTATTCTTCTTATATGTAATAAATTTGTTATTATAATATGGCAAGTGCACAACTCTAGTTTGAAAATAGTCAACATAACGAATGTTGCAATCTGAATATGCTTTAAAAGAGGTCCTCAAAAAACAAAGCTTTATTATGAAGTGAACAAAAGCCGCTTTGGATATAGCCTATTTTAAAATTTGTCACTTCCTGTGTCAAATAGCACATTAGCACATGCCTGCAAACTTTGAAAAAAGGTAATATTTCTCAGAAATGCCAAGCTGGGGTTAAATATTTTGATAAAAATCACAGGAGGATCTACACTGTAAACGTTTTAAAGTGAGTAAAGTGTTCAGTTCTTTCATAACTCGTACAAACAGCAACCTCAGGGGTTTCTGGCTGCTGTTTTCTTGAATGGCTTCTTGAGACTCGTTCTATAAAACAGAGCTGGTCCCTGCTGAGCCTACTTCACTACGGAAATAAATGTCTCTGTACCAGCTACATGAAAAATAAATACCTTTGGTCTCTGCTGATAGACTGTTAAATTCAACCCCAACTGTTTGAGCTTTGTCAAATTCTTTTACACACATGGGGTAGTAAAAATATACCAAAGAACTAAATGAAAAAAGAAGAATTGCTAAAGTATTACCAATATGCTTAAAAAAAGCACAAATACGCTGTTTAGTTTAAAGCTCTCTTTTCTTCATATATTCTTTAGTTATATTCATTTATTTTTTTCGCTTTTATCTAAAGGCAATTGAAGTCACAGTTTGTTAAAAGGCTATTTAAAACATTGACTTTGTTGTCCTTATGCTGTTTTTTTTTAAGTAATTTGGCTTTAGGGACATCCATTTGTGGCAAAGCTTCAACTTCCTTCTATATGTTTAGAGATGTTGCTTCCATATGGAAACATGTTTTTGACCTTTATTCCATTTATTTTGGGAAATAAAATATCCATAAGATATGATTATGGACCCTCACAGTTGGAATGGTGATATTTGGCTTGCAAACTTCTCTATTTTTCCATTAAATGCAATGAAGGCTGTTATGGCAAATGTTTCAATTTTAGCTTCATCAGAGCAAATGATCTACCTCCTAAAATTGAGATCTGTTTCCAAGCAGCTTTCATCTTGTTTTTTGAGCAGTGGCCTCTGGGGCCAACAAAGCAACGTGGTCTGTGGCTCTTTTGCTGTGCTAGAGTGGCACAATTTGCACCAAAACGTTTCTGGCTCACAATTAATCTCAAACAGTTTCCTTTGACTTTTCGTGATCTCAATTTTTTGCTTTTCATGTTTTTTTTCTCACATTTTGGAGTTTGCATCTCTGTTAACTGTGAGAGCAATACTTACTAAAGTCAGAAACTTTATTTTTGTACTTGTGTATGTATTACTTACAATGTAGGGGTGCAAGTTTGTATCATTACATTGTTGACGTCCCTTTAGGGCAACAACAAATCATCATGATGTAGATGTAATTGCAGTTCATGAAGGTGTGTGCTATGAGTTGGAAGCTAATGTTTATTGATACAGTAAATATGCTCACATTTAGCATCCTCTAAGACATGCATATGTGAAGACAGAGTATGTAATGTGTGTGTGCGTATGTGTGTGTGCATTAAACCCCCCCAAATTAGTTAGAATGAATTCTCTGGGAACAGAGGCTTCTTTGTGTCATGGCTCTTTCAGCCGCAGAGACTCAGACAAAGAGTCTCAGTCATCAGCCGCTCTGAAGCAGCCTTTCACCACATGCACCTGCATGCAGCATCTGTGCTATAGCGATGCAGACAAGTTTATCTTATGATGTATGAATGTAAATAACCAGCTTCAGCATCTGTTATTGGTCAGTGACGCTCTTGTTTGGAAACTTAACATGGCTGAGAAATTTGCTGCAAAGACTGACTCAGGTGTTTTCATGTGTAAAGTCCGGACCACCTACATGTTGTTGTTGGTGTGACTTGGCGGGCTGTCACACAGGACAAAAGTCATACGGTTTACACACCTGTCTCACAGTTTCCCTGCAGCTTTCATCTCAAACAGTAGCCAGACACAAACGCAAACTAGTGTCCAGACCAAACACAGAGCATCATTGTAGCCTGCAAGCATCTCAGACTGACTCTCTGTGAGCAGCACCTAAATGACACTATGCACTAAGTACCATCTCTAGCCTGTGCATCACACACATACACACACGCACACACAGAGAGAGAGAGAGAGAAAGAAAGAGAGAGAATATCTGTGGTATTTCTGTCTCTTCCTCGTCATCAATTCCTGAGAATCTGTCTGGCTGTATTATACCACTCAAGAGGATTAAAGCCGCCACACACACACCCACACGCCCTCATGCAGCCATGCAAACACAAGTCCTTGACATTGCATAACTCCACATGCACAGGCACGAGTAAATCCCGACCCCCTCCATTACCCTGCCTTCATCATGCACCATGAGCCCACACCCCCCTGCAGGCACGAGGAGGAGGAGCCATCCAGCAGGCTCCTACTTTTTAAGGGAGTTCCTCTTAAGGCGGCAGAACCGGAAGCCAGCTTGTACCTTTTAAGGGTTAAAATGTAAATACATACAAAGTTGATGGAAAAATTGTAACCTTTTTTTTTTTGGCTTACTTTGAAAATAAACCATTAGAAATAAAAGTAAAAACTGTTATTTTTGCCATCTTCTTACGGTTTCCTATCTAAGTCTTTTAATCTCAGTTGTGCTGTCCTTTTGGTAGCTGTTGTGAAATGGAATGGTGTGGAGCAGAGTGTTGTGTGGCGCTTACTGAACAATAGATTATCCTTAGTCTAATCAAATCTGAAAGTTTAAATTATTCTTTGAATAATTACTCAATCTCAGTCAGGCTGGATGGGTGCAGAGCATCTATTAAAATAATTTTACTCCAGGATTTGTTTGTATCTAGAAACAGGTTTCATGAGGATGTTGTGTTCAGAGTAAAGTATCATGGTTAGTTTTTCAACCAAAGTAGATGTTTTGGTTTAGACTGTTTAGATTGATAACCTAAATTCGCTTTAACATTTTTATGACTTTATCAGCTGTTTGTCAAAAATGTGAACCCGCAAAGGCTTCACGCAGACGTCCATACATGGTACTGAAACATTGCAATGAGGAGGACTTTATGTGCTAAATTGTTGACTTCTACAGAAAGTTGCTTGCACTGGATTTTATTTTGGGGTATTAGAGTACGAGAAAACATATGCAAGTCATTCAGATGGGATCTTATTTTTTATGTGAAACCTCCAGAATTTTAGCATTTTTTGTTGGTTTGTCCTGTAAAATGTAAACAAAAATGTCAGACAAAACAAAACTCAAAAAAGTTTATGAGACATAAATTATTTCTCTCTCTTTCTCTCTCTCTCTGTGTGTGCTCAGGTGGGGAACTACAAACGTGCTGTCAAAAGATTTGATGATGGCCATCGGCTCTGCAATGATCTTATGGGTTGCCTGCAAGAACGTGCCAAGATAGAAAAAGCTTATGGTGATCAGCTAACTGCCTGGTCCAAGCGATGGAGACAATTAATTGAAAAAGGTTCTGCTTTTTTATTAATGTAAACAACTACTAGGTAGGATCAGATGAGGTTCAGTTAAAAGGGGTAATATTTTAAGTACAGTTGATAATGCTTGGTGACTTTATGTCATACAAATCCTGATTAGTTGCTGTTGGATGCTAACACTAATCTGAGAGAGGCAAAGATCAAAGCGTATTTCTATGGACTTAAGCAATTCCAGGATCAAAAATGTACTTTATGCGCCTTCACAGTCTCTTCCTGCCTGCATGGAATGAGAATCTGTCCTGAAAATGATACACCCAACACCGGTCTTCCTTTGTGAAACACGTACAAAGAACAAAACATACAAAACAACAAAACATTCAGTCAAGGTAACTGCGGAACAGAAAGGTATGGCAGTGTAAAAATATCATTACTGTGAGAGGAAAGATAGTCTGTGCTAACAATGGACATAAATACACGCAAAGGCAGACAAAATTATATTAGAGTTTCAATGTAAATGAAGCAGAATGAACTTAAGAAAACTCAATGGGAGCACGACACAAACAACCAGTACTTGGAAAAAAGAAAGACACAATAGAATCAGACAAAGAGAGAAAGAAAACAAATATTACAAGGAGTGATTGTAGAAACAAAGAGCAGGGAGGTCCATAAACTTAGAGTGCTGTCGCTGGCACTGAACTGCAGCGGAAAAAGGAAGAACTGATTCTAAATTAGTTCACAGTGAGTAGAATTAAATAAAACTACATAAGTACATCAGAACAAAGTAAATAAGACCAAAAATTACCTTGCGATGTGTCCGCTGCAGGCATCTAGTGCCAGTAGTATGCTATGTTTTGTGTATCTTCAAAAATAACCAACTTTATTATTTGGTCATTTATATGATACACGAGTCATTGTGTTGATTATGTATTGTGTTGATTATGTAACAGCTGTTCACATGTGCATTAAACAGTTAAATTGTTGTAAATTGAGAAATATTTCCATTCAAGTTTATTTTCAAGATAAATTGAGATGATCATCTTTCAAAATATGACAATCTAAAAGAGCATCACTTTAAATATTTTCAGTTACATTTTCTTAAAAAGACGACATGATAAAAATGTTTCTCATAAAAAGACGACATGATAAAAATGTTTCTCATATTTAGTTGGAAAAGCCTTTGCCAAACTATTTATTCTAAATGGAGACAGCAGGAGAGCGTCTGCTGTAGATAAGACCTCCAACCTTTTAACAGAACCTCACATCAGAAATCACTAAGAAATCATTTAAAAGGACACATTTATTCATTAAATTCAATTAAATGAAGTTTGATTTGTCATATAACAGACACAATTATTCTGCTCTAAATTTTTTATTTGAAATTAATCAACTGGTGCTACTCTCAGGTCCACAGTACGGCTCTGTGGAGAGAGCCTGGCTTGCGGTTATGACAGAGGCAGAGAAAGTGAGTGAACTGCACCAAGACGTGAAAAACAACCTGCTGAATGAAGATGTTGAGAAAGTGAAGAACTGGCAGAAGGAGGCATATCATAAGCAAATGATTGGAGGCTTCAAGGAGGCCAAGGAGGCAGAGGAAGGCTTTAAAAAGGCTCAGAAACCATGGGCCAAAAAGCTCAAAGAGGTGAGGAAGTATACGGATATCTTCAGGAATCAGCTTTGCTTGTAAAAAAAGTCTTAGGCTATGTTTCATAAACGCCAAGTATTTATTTGAATGGAGTTAATTCAGCATGCAGCAGATTTACCTGGTAGTAAGTGCTAATTGCTATTGTAAGGTAAGAAGCTATTTTTTTCTTCGATGTATGTTTTGTTAAATCTTTCCCCGTTTCTGTGTGTGGACATGCAGATGGAGGCAGCTAAGAAAACGTACCATATGGCCTGCAAGGAGGAGAGGATGGCTGCAGCCCGAGAGGCCAATGGCAAGACGGAGGCTTCTGTCACACCAGACCAGCAGAAGAAACTTCATGAGAAAGTGGATAAATGCAAACAGGACATGCAAAAAGTAAAGACCTCAAAGTCTTACATTTGGTCAGACTTTTGAGTAAAAAAAATAGATGTTGCTGTGATTTTTACTTTTGTTTTCAACATATATTTTGACAGAAATATTCAAGTGCATGGAGTTTTTTGTCTCGAAAATGCTGTGAAGTAGTAGTTGCTCACTTACAGATTCCTTGTTTTTATTTTTAACATTTTCGCCCTTGAATGTTTCAGTTTAGTAAAAGCACCATCAAACAAAAATCAACTGAGTAAATACAAAATGCAATTTTCAAAAGATTTCATTTACTAACTGGAAAACATATCATTAAAAATTGTAAAGTATGCCCAAATTTGGGAAAATTTAAGAACAGATGACACAATCATTGGTAGTCAGTTTGACTCCTTTAAGCTGATTTTGCAAAAGACTTTATACTGTTGTGAAAAATTTAATTCATGTCCAAAACAGCACAAAGTTTTTGTGCAAGACCTATGACCTTTAGCCCTTTTAAGTATAACTGATCACTGCTCTTGATTGTTGTGCTAAAGATCCTCACAGAAAGAAAAAATATGTAGCTTTTACCTTTGTAACACCTCAAAACTATTGTCACATCATGTGCAATATAATTGAGTTGAATTATATGCATTAGATAAATCACTCCAGGTAATAATTATTTTTTTAAAATTCTTTCTCAGGCTAAGGAGAAGTATGAGAAGTCTTTGGAGGAGCTTAGCAAATGTACTCCTCAGTACATGGAGTGCATGGAGCAGGTGTTTGACCAGTGCCAGCAGCATGAAGTCAAGAGACTAACTTTCCTCAAGGAGGCCTTGTTGGACATAAAACGCCATCTTAACCTCACTGAGAACCAAAGGTTAGTCGAAATCAAAGAGATGAGTCACATATTTTGTATTCTTACTATACAACTAACTTAAGTTAAATTTATTCCTTTTTAGCTTTCCAACATTTTTGGAAAGTTGCTTTGGAAAGCGTCAGTAGCGCTGGCAGTAAAACAGTCTCAGAGTTGACTAACAAAAACAAACTAGCAGATGAGTTCACAATCTCAAACATGACATTAAAATCAAAAGATATTCTGGAGCTTTAATCACCACCTATTTTATTTCAGCCTGTAATTATAATTTTGATGGTAAAAATTAACACTAAATTCAAACTTTGGTTTTTTGCTTTTTTTGTTTTTTACACATTACTGAAATTGTTTGATGTCAGCCTATTCCACACTAGAAAGAATAGCTTAAATAAATCATTAAAGCCCAATATTAATATGTTAACCCTAGCTAAGTTCACAAGTGCATTTCTAAAACAAAAATCTGCAATATCCAAGAACATCCTGATAAGCACAGGTGGGACATTAAATTTGAACTACGCAGAATGTATCCATGCATTAATAATTTTGATTAAAAAAAAGAAAATCCAAGCAACAAACAAATTTTAGTTGATTACTTTGATTGGACTTGTGTCACATTCAGCACAGTTCACTTCCAGCTGATTAATTTCAACATGCGTATCGACCAGCTGTGTATTTCTCATTAGCACTCAGCCTCACAACGTTAATTAACCGAAAATTCATTCAATGGCGTTTCTGACAAAATGAATTTGGTTCAGAATGTATGCTTGTCATATTCTGGCCTGCTTTTAAGCTGTGTCTAATAAATAAGCCAGGAGCCACGGCAAAGGGATTTACAGGCTCTTTAAACAAACCTGCCAAGTTTGTTTTCCATCAATCTCACTGGCATCTCAGAAGATTGTTTAATCATGTACTATCTATTCAAAATTATATGTCTTTTGTATTACTACCGTATTATTTTTTTTGTTTCCCATATTAAAATAAAAACTAATTTTTGTGCTAAAGATTCTCACAGAAAGAAAATATATGTAGCTTCACATGAACCGTCAAAATTTGGTTTTATGAAAAGTGTGCATTTTTTCCCCTCCGAATTAATCCTGTTTACTTTCTACTTTAGTCATGTCTAACAACAACCCATCTTAAAGCCAGAAGCTGGCCTGCAGGTAATATTGCAGGTAATATTGCAAAAAAGAAGGTAAATGCTCCTCTGTCTACCTAAACCAATGTAGACAGATTTAGATGAAATGGCATAAAATACATTTTATTAACAGTTTCATGTGAACCGTCAAAATTTTGGTTTTATGAAAAGTGTGTTTAATATGTTATTTTTTTTCAAATGCACCTTTAAATCCGAGGCTGATCAGAATAAATATTCTAATTTATTGAATACGACCACACACCTCATTTTTCAGATGTCTAATCTGTCAAAACATGTGCCTTTCACTTCACAAACATGCGATCCTTTGTGTTGGTCCATCATAGAAAACTTTCAAGTTTACTCCTGTAATGTCACAAACTGGGAAAAGGTTAATACTGTAGGAATAGTTTTGCAAACATTGCATATCACATTTTTGCATGGGAAGTAATTGAAAACACAAAAACTGTTACTTAGGCTAAATTCTTCAGCAGTTGGGGGTTCCAGTTTTGGCAAAGAACTCAGAGAGAGAAAATCCACTCATGCTCTAACCTTGGATCTCTTTCAATCCGGAATCTGAGCCACAGTGTGAGTTCTGGTGCCAGTTTGGCAGCAGCCTCATGTCCCTTCTGGTCCCTCCATTGTCACAGTTTGTTCCGCTCTTCTCTCCTCAGCTATGTCACAATATACAGAGAACTGGAGCGTACGATTCAGGCCATAAGCACACAAGAAGACCTGAGGTGGTTCAGCAATAATCATGGCCCAGGGATGCCCATGAACTGGCCAGCATTTGAGGTAAAACATCCACAGTTCGGACCAAACAAGCTTACAGAACTGCTCCCTGGATTTATTTTGTATGTGTTCATATTTTTTTGTGTAGGAGTACAACCCAGACCAAGCAGCTGCTCCTCCAAAGAAGAAGAAACCAGATGGAGCCCCACCCACTCCAAGCACTGACCATGTGGCTCCCCCTGGTGACCGGAGCAGGTTAGTTGAAGGCATTTACATTTTCTTATTGAAACCATTTCATTTTGGGAGCAGTTCTGAAATTGTTATTTAAGTTTGACCTTAAATAATACTGAACAACATTTTATATAATTTTCCATATATTTTCTTTTCCGTAATAAAACAAGTCGACCAACTGTTCACACACTGAACTCATAATTTGTTAATTTTTTCACCAAATAACAAATTAAAACTCTGTTTTCTTGTCTGTATGACATTTACTTCAAATTTAACCCAACATTTTTTCCCCTTTTTTAGCGTGAGCAGCTATGACAAGAACCAAGCTTATTCGGCCGAGTGGTCCGACGACGAGCAGCCCACTGCATACTCCGGCAACGAAAACGGTGGAAACAGAAATTCGTTTGAAGACGATTCCAGCACTGGGAAAGGCGTCCGTGTTCGCGCCCTTTATGACTATGATGGCCAGGAGCAGGATGAGCTCACCTTCAAAGCAGGTGATTATTTGAGCACACCCGGTGAATTTGAATGTGTTGGAAAGCTATGGTTAAAAAACTAAAACTACTGTTTCCTTTTCTGTTCTAAAGCCTCCTTCCGCCACAAGAAATAACAGGGATTAGGAATAATAGCTACACTTGGGAACAAATTACAGGCGTTTGCCATCAATTAACTCAAGCTGCTTGAGCAACGGTCCAAAAGATGCTCAGAGGTTCCCGCATGATCACAAATAGTAATTTAAGGAGAACCTCAGTAGCTGTAACATCAGCTATGCAACTTTATTTTGATTTTTTCTTTTGCTTTTTCAAGTTTTAGCCACATAGTTATAGACAGATTTAAAGATAAAGCAATATGTCTGTCCATAACTAAAACCAGTTTGGAGGTGCATGTTATATAAACGGTGTTTCCTTTTTCTATGATTGTGACACTGAAAGCTATAAAGTAAAAAAAAAAAGAGTGTTTTTAATTGTATTTGGTAGGGAAAATGCACATCAGCTGACATTTCTGTAAATGTCCTGGAATTAGTTAAAAGGTTGTAATTCATTTGTTGCCCCTGAAGAATGAGCAATTTGTCCTATTAAAAACCAAACAAGGTTAAATAAACGTAATTATGCAAATTGAGTCAAATACAAAATGAGTGCAAGCAATAAATACAAAAGAAGAAAACTTCAACACAATTATAAAAAGCATAAGTAATTAAAATTAAATTAATTGAATATCACTAGATGGTTATTTCAAAGCAAAAATCTTCAGCTGAGTAGCATAAACTGGGGGATGCAGTTCCTTGTAAAGTATTCACACCCCTAAAGTACTTTACAAATTTTGGCTTTGTTGTGATAAAACATAGGCAAAGTTGAAGGTGTATTAATTATAATGTTTTCGCAAAAACTGAATAAATTTCTATTGTTTGAGCTGTACTTTTCAAATGATTTATGGGTAGTTTTCATGGAAATATTTCTGTTCACATCAGAACCTGTGTCATTTGTGTTGATGGAATTTTCAAATTTCCCTCGCAGGTGACGAATTCACCAAGACAGAGGATGAAGATGAGCAAGGCTGGTGTAGAGGTCGTTTGGACAGTGGCCAGGAGGGATTGTACCCGGCCAATTACGTGGAGCCAATCTAGTCACATGAGCGGACAGAGACATGCCGCTGGAGGCAGCTTGAACTGTCCCGTCCAACTGCACCGCACATAGCCAGAGACTTAAGAGCAACACATCCTTTGCCCAACAGATGCGCCAAGCTGTCTTGCCTAACTAAAACTTAGTAACCTAAAAAGACACTATATCAGTATAGTATATTTTATCCAGCATTTGAGGCGGGCGAAGTTACACATTCAAAAAACAGCAGTTGTGCTATTGTAGACACACTCAACAAAAACATGAAGACAGTGCAGGAACACATTGCTTCTCTGTGTGGCTGTGTTTAATATACAATGCAGCTTATTATTAACTCACAGTGTACTGCAGTGTGTTTTCCTGAAGGGAAGATATTATAATGTTTTACTCATTTAACAAAGATGAGCTTCTCTAACCTGCATTGTGTATATACGGTGTGATGCCATTTTGTGTAGCATTTTTAATGCTGTGTATGTCATTCTTACAACAGGAATGCTGTGTAGTGTTAACAGTACCACAAACAGTATCCTTTTTGTTTCCTTTTTCTTTTGAATCCTGTCCAGCCTCCGTTCCAGTGTGTGCAGTGCTATGTGTTTCAAACTGTTTCTGAACATTGCATAGCAGCATGTGCTATGCAAAGAGTTACATTCCCCAAGTCCCTGCAGCCTCGCTACGGCTACATTCTGATGCAACACTTCAACTACAAGTGCAGCATTACATGCTTCTGGACATGCATGTGCTCCCGGGTTCACAAGAGAAGGCTTCTCGATGAACTGACCTCACATTTGCTTTGTTTTCGACCTTTTCGTTTTTGTCACGTAAATCCTTTGACCGCACCATCCTCATGCAAATCCATGGAAAGGATTTACAGTTCTTGCAGAAGCTTCCATCCGTGCTTCAGCAAATCAGGGTTCACTTTAATCAAACTGTGCTAACGAGACATACAAGCATTACTTCAGAGCAAAGTTGGATCTACTCATCTTGAGCTTGAGACCGCATTATAGGAAGGATGTCTTGAACAATACATGTGCCTGGGACTCTTTTCCAGAGCAAGGGCGTGTGAATGCATGTCAGTGGATAACTGTGCAACAGTGGTTTGTCTAAAGATTGACCCCTTTCCAACAGGACATGAATGTACTTGTGATGGGGCTTTAAAGAGGGCAAGATGTCAAAATATTTTACTGGCATAAAGCAGAAGTTTTGTGGCCCTTCCCCAACTGAGCCAAAGAATGATCCATCACTTACCACTCCATAATCTAATTACACATCTCATAAAATGGATTCACTAAATTAGTTTTTGCTTCCATGCCCAACCGGATTCCCTTTTGTCTGCAAAATCTGCTCGGTAAGCCAGTAACATGTCATGCAAGCTAACCGCTGACTCAGTGGAGCACATGGTTGCTTTTAATCTTTATTTTACTGTTGAGGAATTACAGGGCCTAGTTAAAGTATTCGTATCACTTGAACTTTTATTCATGATTTGACCAGATGCTTCCACATATTTTGTGAAGTAAAACCAACATCAAAGAGTTCAGAAGAAGAAAAAGAAGGCAATTTGGGAAAAGAAAGAAGGACAAATAAGAATTGAGGTACGCATGTGCATGTTGTGCAAACATTCTATTCTCCCCCCAGAGACAGTTTAAAGCATCAAATTTGCCTGGAATTACAGGTACATGTTTTTGGGAGCATTTCTTCTCCAGCTTTGCACATGTTGTGGCATTTGCAAATTTTTTTTGCCTATTCCTCTTTGCAAAGTAGCAAGAAATAATGATATTTAAACTTTGCCATAGATTCTCAATTGAATTTAGGTCTGAAATCTGATTATGCCATTCTAACATTTCAATACACATATATGCAGCTGTAAATATAGTGCTATACTACTGGAAGGTGAACTACCACCCTACTTTCAAGTCTTCTGCAGCCTTTGAAGGGCTTTCTGCCCAGTTTTCTCTTGTATTTATTTCAGATCACTCCTTCTTCTTTGCTCTTGCTGAAGAAAATCAGGAGCAGAATAGATGTGGAGTGTTCTGAAGATCAATTCTGGTCTCATCTGACCAAAGCAGAGGACTAAATACTGATGCGTTACATTGTTTGTGGTTGAACATGTTCAAGGGGTATGAATACTTATGCAAGGAACAGCATTTTGTCGTATTTTTTTATAATTACTTTTATTACTATGATTACATTTATCAAATGCTGATTAGTAGCTTGTGTACTTCCAGGTTGCACCTACAACTCAGTTTAGATGAAGTGTTTTTGAGACATAGTGATAAAAAATTACACATTACCAGCAGTGACTGGATGTGTTCAGCTCTGGATTTGGGAAGGTCTCACACACAAGGACAAAACACATCACCAGCTCACAAGGTGCGTCTTAGAGTGCAAGCGTGTCCAGCAGGATAAAAATGACCCCTGTTGTTAAACTCTCCCACTTTCTCAGTGCTTACATGCAATACACAAACGTGCAGCGACACAGGTGTTAGTTAGACTGACAATATACACATTATCTGCAAGTTCAAACTCCTTATCTATAATTCCAGGTGAATACTTTGGGGTAAAACATCCGTATCATCCAGTGTGTATGAGTCGTGTAAATGTTATACAAAGTGGTAACAAAACAAGCAAAAAAAAAAAATGCAAAAAAAATAAAATAAATAAAAAAATGCAAGTGATTGACTATTAAGACAAAATGTAGTTATACATGTAAATGTGTTTCATTAAATGACAGCAAAGGAAAACGTGTTAAGTAATAGGTACCATATCGTATGAATTTTATTGCAATGAAACTGTCAGTGTATCATAAAAGCGTGATGTTATCCCACGCTGTCAGATTTGTACATGATGATGTAATTTAAAGATTATATTCTATTGTAACTGTACAACTGTGTTGAGTTGAAAATGAGACCTAACTATGTTGAGACAGTAAAAAAGGTGTACATGTAAATGCTTTTTTTTCATGTTGATCTTTTTCCCTTATGCACAAAGGGGGCTGCAGCTCACAATGTGAAAAACCCCATATTAGCAGTCTAGAAGATGTATGTTCATAGTTAGTGATGTACTTTTATCTCCTAACTGGTGTAGTGCCTGTTCATCTTGATGTAACAAGAAGTTCATTTAAATATGCATAAAAGTGATTATGATCACAAATAATAATGACTATAGTGATAAAAACAAGAAAAAAAAATCCAATCAAATTTGCTGTGATGGTGTCAATATTGAGATATTGATTTGGAAGGGAAAGAAGTTTGTTGAAAAAAAAAAGCCTGTTCCGTCTGTGTGTGTGTTTGTTTTCCGATGGAGTCCACGTGTTACTTTAGATTATATTTCTTGTTTCCTCTGTGAAGGAGAAACCTACTTATTATATTAAAGAACCTCCACAGAGATATAAAGATGGCCATATAAAACATAAACTGACTATGCAGTGGAAACCTTTATTTACAGTATCTACATGGATAAAATAAAACGTGTGCTCATCGATTAAAAAGGAAAATCTAATTTAAAGTGACAATATGGAAATGATATCACAATATCCATCAATTTAGTCTAAGGCTCTACAATATAGTGTTAAGAAATCTGAAATTCTACAAATATGCAACTGACTGAGTCATTTTAACAAAATCACCTGTGCCACAATTATTGGTACAACTAAATAGCCTGATTAGATAAATGTAACTGAAGTCAAATTTATACTTTTCAAATTGATCCATGTTTCTAGTCACTTTTAATCTGTAATCCACAGCTTTCAGGGTGTTTGGGATATAAATATGACTTGACAAAGAAGTTTGTTTTTAATAACTTTAGAGAAGCAAAGAAATTAAGCAATCTTAGAGAGGCCAAGTCTCAGTAACAATTGTTTTTGTGCTTGGTAGATGCTATTATCCACAGTTATTTATAAATTAGGAAATGCCAGTGCAGTAACTATCAAGGCTAACTTGTCAAGCAGTTGGTTAAGAGTAATGCTAAGACAATTTATTGCCGTCCTACACAAATGTAAATGGGAAACTCTGCAGGGACTTTACATATTATTGCGTGTTTTTGTCAAATTAAACTAAAATATAGATTTTTGAAGAAAAACTCAAGGTGGCGTTTGTGTCAAACAAGTAATAAATATATGAAAAGCACTCACTGTGAACTGTTAGGTATTATAGAGAATTGGTGCTACTGTGGGCCATGCGAGTCTGAGTGGAGTGTTTGTAACATAATGTCTTTGAAGTACTTGGACAATTTAGATTGAAATTATGGCAGACCATCAGTGAACTGAAAATGGGTTGTCCCTTACACTTTTAGTTTGAAGCTGGGGTCAAACTTTTGATCATCGAATCCATAAACAAAAACTGCAGACACGAGAAAGCATGTAGCTCATTTCCATGATAATTTAATTGTAGAAACATTCATCAAACATATAAGAAATGATCTTTCACTTGTTTGCACTTCCTCACTTGCATACATGCGCTGCTGTGTGAGTCTTACACCAACTGATTCACCATATGAAGGAAACTTCAGAGATGCTACACAAAGAAAACACACTTAGAACTCGATGAAATAACATTTGGAAGAAGAAACACACATCGCACGAGTTACTGGAAGGAAATGCTTCAGCGCAACAGGAAATGCTTCAGCGCAACAGGAGCTGTATTTCTGCATTAGCTGGTATTATCATATCATGGTCCAGCGCCTCAGGGATTTACACTTTCATCAACTAAAGGGCACCAATTTGATGAGGTGGTCTAACACAGACTGCAGATGATATAATCACAGCAATCGTAACTGCTCTCTGACTTCGCATTCATTCTGAAAGAAAATAACGGCCCTTGTGAAGGTTAGATTACTCAGTGCATATATCGCTCATTTGGTAAAAGAACGTGAAGAACTGCTGACACTTCGAAAGGACATATGAATTCATTTGCAATAAGCTCTAGAGATGCACCAATCAGGCTTTTGCTTACTAACACCAATTTCCAGTTTCCTATTAGGTCTGATCTGGTCATTTTCCTTTGTCTGATATTTTCATTCCATGACACTTAAATACAAAACATGTGCTGCAGATTTTTATTAGTAATAGACTAAGCATAAAATTCCAGAACCGTAATAATATCTTAATTTATGCAAATGATACACCCCTTAACCTTTATCTGAATTATATTTAATTTAAAAACTGTGCTAAACTAAATGCTGAAACTACAATTTTGGGGTATTGAGACATGTTTTATATGCACATCAATGCCATGTCAAGAAATTAGCTTTCAATGCTTAGTGAGAGCCTAAAATTGTTGAAGTAAATATAAGTCGAAATGATCAGAAAGTAGAATAAGCCGTCAGTTTCGCACATCACAAACAAATCAACAGTGGAGACAGCTTAGTGTAGGGTGGGATTCACCAATGTTATTGGGTCATTGCTGCAATATTTTAGGTGATTCTGTAGAAGTGGAGAACATGTGTGATAGAAGTGGCAGGTGAGAGCATCATTTTTTATCTTGTCCAAAGATCCATGGCAACCAGGGCTGTCCAGTGATCAAACTGTGTCATGCTGAAGAGTCAAAATGGGACAGAGCACAAATTCCCTACTGAAGACTGGACTTCCCTCAGCATGGAAACAAAAGGCACAAAATATGACAGGTGTTTTGGTTTTGGTGCTTTTCATGAACTATCTGATTTTTGAGAGTTTGATTGGCCAAATACCAGTCAGAGCCAATCAACAGAAAATTGGCCAATTACAATCCATGACTAATTTATTGGTGCATCTCTAATTAGTTCAGTACATGTTAATACATAGCTTCCAAAACATTTTGTAAGACAAAAGACAGGGAAAGAAAGTACACAGAGTCAAACTGCCAGTTTAGTTCAAACATAATCCAGATTCTTTGGGTAATAGAAAACATTGTCAAAGTTGTCATTTTTATCTACATTCACAAAATACATTCAACCTAAATGTTAAGTCTAATACAGGCTGAACCGAACTCTTTGATTTTGTATAATGTGGTGTAATGTCTTTATAAAGTATTTATTGATGTCAATATGGCTTGAATTTTGAATCTTACAGCATAATGTGCACTGATTGAGTTACAATGTTGTGTTTGTAAATTAAAACACTCATATGTGAGGCATAATTAGATATATTCAAAGCTAACTTAGACTGAAAACTAAAAAAAGTCAACTTCAGAGATGAGTTATTAACAGCAAAAATGCTCCCTTTTTGTGACTTCATGACCAATTTAAAGTTTGGTGGATGGTGCAGGTGGGCTCATTCTTGAGAAAATGACAGGAAACTTTTCAAGACTTAAACTAAATCTAATACCAATTCACACAATGACTGGATAAAGCACCAATAAATTTATATAATAATATTGTATTTGCTACAAGTTGCTAATAGTATTGATTCCACTGATATGCGAGTAAACTTGATTCAACTCAATTTTGCCAAATCTATATTTGTCTAAGTAGTAATGGCCACCTACCTGACTAAGCACAAAAATGTGTTCTGCTGTTTACACTCCATGCAATGTGACAGAGTAGAAAAAAATGTCAATATTCCAAGAGTCATGTAGTAAAAATCTTACACTAACTGACTTGACATCTAAAACCCAAAACTGCATTTCAGGGTAGCCTTTACAATCAACCTTAGTGCTATATAGACCAAAGGGTCCAAAATTCAAGAAAACAAACTAAGAGAAGCAGAAAGTGTAGAATCAGTTGGCAAAAATTAATGGCTTTAACTCTGAAGTCTCTTTTCAGGTTGCACAATGCACGCACATCTTCACACACGCACAAAAAAAGCTCTCAACTCACCCACTACTTTCATCTCTGCACATGTGCATCTTTGTCAACTATGAAAAGAAATCTTAAAAGTAAAAGAAAAAAAAAAAGCTTATCACTCAAGACTCATAGCACTCATATTTTTTAACTTAGCATTCACACGTGCATACAGTGGGATGTTGGTTCAGCTGCACATCAGGAGCGTCGGCCTCCGGCGTTTTTTTTGTTTGTTTGTTTTTTAAGTGTAATTGGACTTTGCATAAAGTGTTTTGACTTCCACACTCCACAGTAAAGCCTCCTGGTTTATTGGTGTGAGAAATTCCAGAGGTACAACTTAGTGCTGCCATACAGTGATAAGTCCCATGATTAAGAGTGCCCAAAAGGAGAGGGCTCTTGTATCTGAAAGAGAGGGGAATAATTTAAAAATAATTAGTCAGAGGTGCAAAACCAAAGCGTTAGAAAAGAAACACACACAGATAAATACCTGTGAAGAATACTCCACAATTAATTCTGAATGGCAAACAGGATTCATGTGGGTATTAGGCAAAACATTCATAGGGATTTTTATATTCTTGGATTTCTATTAGCTAAACTTTATGTCAATAAACTATGAATGAAAAAAAAACAAAGATAATCTGAGGCACAAGCTAAATGTAGAACACTTGAAACACAACTCATATTCTTAACTCTCAGGCCAAAAAGCCAAAACATAAATACAAAGGGAGTTTTAGAAGTGAGCAGTGGAGATGGGTGCAGCAGAAAGCTGCAAATACTTAATTCCATAGCTGCCGCATTGATTTCTTTATTAAAATATTTTGATTAAGTACATTTATTGGCACCTCTGACAAAGATGTGCTAAAAGCATTTAAGATGGAAATCCTTCTCTGCTGCTGTAGCATAATCTCACAATGAAAGCCTCCTGAGCATTCAACCTTTAAATTCGGGTTTTGATTTTGTGAGAAAAAAAACAAACTATAACATTCTCAGTGGCAAAATTATTGCTATCCCTTGCTGTCAATGATTTGTAAAACCACCTGATGACAAGAGGACAGAACTTGGGCTGCTTTCACAAAGGAAGTGGTCACCATGCATTGCAGGCACGGTGGCAAAGAAAGTAAAAAAGAAACAAATGTGCAGAAGCTCTGTGCTGGAAAATTGTTGCAAAGATTGGCATCTGTGGTTCACCAAGTCTCCAAAACAACGATTAGGTGCTACCTAAATGCTAGAGCTGCACAAGATACTGTTAAGACTGAAAAACCACTGTGTGATGAATCACAATCAAACTGTTCAGATGCAATACTTGAAAAGACAATATATTTCAAGTGACATTCATGCAAATTTTTCATGCCAATAATTAATTTGGCCGCTGACTGAGATGCTAAAGCTCTCAGTCACTATAAACTGCATCCCAATGAAAGCATTGTCGCCTAATTACAAATGTACTGCTATAGTGCAGCCCGACTCCATGTATATCTATACTGAATAAAAGTCTGACAGATTTTACAAATTAAACTTAATTT